CGGCGCCCGCCCGGCGCGCGGTTTAAATGCCCAGCGGCGCCGCGGGTGCGGGTGGGCTTGGCGTGAACGCCCCGCGCGGGGCCCGGCACCTGTCGCGGGCGGCGAGTACCGCATCCGGCCTAGAGCGAGGGGACGAGCACAGTGTCGCGGTCACATCCAGGTACCCTGTGGGCCTCGGTCGTCCCGCGCGGCCCGTTAGTTGGTGGTAGACGACCCCGGTGCAGAGCCGGGCAGGGTAGGAAGGCCTGCGGAGGGGGTCCTGCGGGCGGGCGGCGGGGACGAGCGGGGAGGAAGCCAAGTGAGCGGCGCGAGGGGCTCCTGCTGTGTCGTCCTGGTGCGAGTAGGAGCGGAGATGGGCAGGGGTCCGAGGGCAGAACCATCATCCGCGTTGGCCGCTCTTGCCCCAGTAGCCAAGTTCCATGATCACTTGCTATTCGCCGTAAGTATTTACTGGATCTTTGAATGAATGATGGTGTCTTTCGGAATTCCCGGACCACTACTTTATTTAATCTTAGTGTGAGGCTAGAAATGCAGCCGGTTCCTTCTGTGGGGAAGGCACAGTGACTGTTCCGTCGTCTTCAGATAAAACTTTGCGCATCAGCCCAGCTCCTTTCCTACACATCACCGAGACCATTCTGCTGTTCTTCTTCAGTGATCCACTGTCGGTGTGCCAAGTGTTTCTGTTACCCTACAAAGCGAAGAATAAGGAGGAGACCCCGAAACCTAACCATCTTGAGCCTCCCTGAAGATGTGCTCTTTCATATCCTGAAATGGCTTTCTGTCGGGGACATCCTGGCTGTCCGAGCTGTAAGTCGCCAGATGAAAGTAGCGTCAGCCCTGTAGCTTGTTGACCTAACTTGTTGGTGGTCCCGTCAGGGTTTCGTGTTCTTAAATGTGAGAACAAAATTTTGGCTACGAAAGAGGGCAGAGGCTACAAGGATGATGTTGTTACTAGACGTTTGAGGTTGTTGCAATCAAAGCTGAAACAGGGCGCCTGGGTGGCTCAGTCGGTTAAGCGTCTGCCTTCGGCTCAGGTCATGATCCCAGGGTCCTGGGATCGAGTCCCGCATCGGGCTCCCGGCTCGGCGGGGAGCCTGCTTCTCCCTCTGACCCTCTCCTCTCTCATGCTGTTTCTCTCTCGCTCGCTCTCTAATAAATAAATAAAATCTTTAAAAAAAAAAAAAGCTGAAACATAGCACAGTATGTTTTAAGTCTGTTTGTTGTGATGTTTGACAGAGAAAGTACCCTACTGTGGCAGTGAAATTCTCACCCCTTAAGAAATAAAAGAGTATATTAAGGAGAACAAAAACACATTTTCGAGGACAAATTGAGTAATGTCGAGCCCTGAAAGGGACCCTGGGAGTTAGTTTGCAGATACTCAACTGCACCCTCGTTCAGACTAACTTACTCAAGGGCATACAGCAAATTGGTGGGAAAACTCCAACAGGAACTTGTTTCTCTGACTCCCAGAGCCGCCTCCGTTGTGGTCATAATATCCATGGGTGCTGAGTTTTAATTGGCAATGGAAACTTTAGCCCTTGAAATGCTCACCTGTGCTCAGGGCTCCCAGCTGGGGCACTTCCTGCCTCTGACCAGGATGGTATTGAGTTTATTGGTCTTTTTCTAGAGCCTCTATTGACCTCCAGACTCCAGCCGTTTTCCCACTAGCAAGGCCCTAGGTAGAGAAGCAGAAGACAAAATTCTGTTCTACTTGCTCCTGTTAGAGTCTGCTTCCCTGATTGTTATAGGGCATACACCCTTACAGGGGCGTCACCCCCTCTTTCTCAAGGTGGATGCTTATTTTGCCTTCCGGCACCACTGTCCCCACCTTTAGAGCCTCCGAGAAACTTGTTTCTTCCCTCTCTCAAAGCAGCTATTACTTTGATACACAGGGGGCCTTTCCCCCTGGCATGGGTTGGGAGACAGGAGGCCCTCCATCCGTCTATGTCCCATGTTCAAGGGCTCCAGGAGCGGGGCTTCTAGGAGGTCCCTTGATAATGCACGCCCCCTTCCATTGTTCTGCAGGTGCACTCCCACCTGAAGTATCTGGTGGACAACCACGCCAGCGTGTGGGCATGTGCCAGCTTCCAGGAGCTGTGGCCTTCTCCAAGGAACCTGAAGCTCTTTGAAAGGTATCTGCACCTGACAACAGCTCCGTTTTCTCCCATCTCTGGGCCTCCCTGGTATGCCAGCCTGTGTCCCCAGCACCCCAGGGAGTGACTGAGGGCTGTCAGCGTCACCCGCGGAGTCACATGAAACACAGTCATTGGCCATCCATGCCACCAGCCCAGCCGGAGTCATCAGTCACTGTCATGCTTCGAAGGATCTCACGGGCTGGGACCAGTCTGCGTGACTCAAACACAGGTTACCTGCCTGTGGAAATTTTACTCAGCCTTCTTTTTATTTTTTTGGTCAAAAGTGTGTGCTTTCACTCCTGTTGCATTTCACTCCCTGGTTGATGCTGTCCTCTTGCTGGGGTTGGGACCCAGAGGGAGGGTCAGAGCAGGTGTGAGCCCCTCGGCCTGGGGTCCCTGGCGTGCTGGTGACTAGACCTACCATCCGCGTGTGCCAGTGGCTCCAGACAGGCCGCCTGAGACCTAAGCCACATACCATACGATGCCTTTGTTTAAGGTGTGCAACTCAGTGGTTTTTCGTAGATTCACACAGTTGTGCAACCATCACCGCTCACTTGAGAGCATCCTCATTACCCCACGGGCAAAGCCAGAGTGAATAGGGGTTGATGTCAGTGCCCACTCCCTATTTTCCCTGCAGTCCCCCAGCCCCTGGCAGCCCCAGATCTGCCCACTTGTACGTGGATTTGCCTGCTGTGGACATTTCATGTAAGGGGAATCTTACAGCATGTGGCCTTTTGTGGCTGAGTTCTTTTGCTTGGCACGTGTTTAAGGTTCGTCCGTGTTGTCACGTGTCATTGGATGAGTGGTATTTGACTGCGTTGTCTGAAAAATCCTCAGTTAAGAAACAAGCGTTCTAGCTTCGGGTGCTGTGGTGGGACAGAACCTTCATGGGACAACACAGGTGACACTGTGTGTTTTTAATGGTCTAGGGCTGCTGAAAAGGGAAATTTTGAAGCTGCCGTGAAGCTGGGTATAGCCTACCTCTACAATGAAGGCCGTAAGTCCTCACGGGGCGGGGGCTGGCCTCGCCCCGCTCAGTGCTGACCTTGTAGAACAGGCATGAGCCCTTCTCCATGGGAGCCGTTCAGCCCTTATTTTTGCCGGGTCCAGCCGTGGGCCTCTCCCCTCAGCAGTGTGTGCCCACAGGGGGCCTGCTACGGGACCCACTGGTGATCTTTGAGTCCTTACGCTTTGATTATTTTTACAAAGCATGTTTTGACAACTGCTTTAATTCCGTCAGCAGAGACTCAGAATGGGGGACCTACTCAGACAAACAGGACTCCTCCACCAGCAGCACCCTCCTCCGTCCAATGAATGCCACAGCCCATGTAGGTGCTGGCCCCTCTCCATCCTTTGCCACAGTTCCTCCCTGGAACTCTGGGGCAGCAATCAAAGGGTGCCTAATTCTTTGGGGTGTTAATAACACAGTAGCCACGGCTTCAGTGGGAGGCAGGAACAAGCAGGTCAAAGCTGGCCTGTGCCTGAACTCCTTCACCCCCCAAGGAACAGGTGCTCCTTGAAAGAACCCATGTGGCCTCCTCCTCTCCAGTGCCTGCCCCTTTGCTTAGCACACAGAACCAGCCTGCAGAGTGTCCAGTCCCAGCCCCCAAAATGCATAAAGACTGGGGATAGCTGCTATGTTTCTGCTTCTGAAAGATCTGGCATCTTGCTGGGAAAGCCCCTGCTCATAGCTGGTTGGGGTTGTTAAGACCCACAGAGATGGTGAGCGGTCCTGCCCCTCGTGTGCTCCCCCATCAGACAGCGGTTCCCAGACAGGATTCACGTACCATCCAACTCACCCATCCAAAGTGCACAAGCCAGCAGTTCGCAGTATCTTCACAGAGTGTTGTAGCCATTACCACCAGTCCAGGTTTGGAACATTAGTCCAAAAGGAAACAGTACTCACTAGCAAGGGTTCAGGCTGTAGCTCCCAGCAGGAGGGAGGGTGTGTGTGCTACCCCCACAGGGACACCTTCCTGGACGTTCAGAACCTAGGCTACCGGCAGGGACATGTGATTCACAAGGGAGGGAAGAAAGGGAGGAGCCCCTGTCTTGGAGGGCTCTGCTCTCCTTAAACACCAGCAATGTTGCGCTGCAGCAGGCGTAAGATTGTAGCCTTTGAAGAACTCTGTGCACCTGTCCTTCGGAGACATCCTGGGTAACGTTCTGTCCGTGTCCGCAGTGTCTGTGTCTGATGAAGCGCGTGCAGAAGTAAACGGCCTGAAGGCTTCTCGCTTCTTCAGTCTCGCTGAGCGACTGAATGTCGGCGCCACGCCCTTCATCTGGCTCTTCATCCGCCCTCCGTGGTCGGTGTCTGGAAGCTGCTGCAAAGCCGTGGTTCATGAGAGCCTCAGGGCCGAGTGCCAGCTGCAGGGAGCGGGTCCTGGTGAGGGACACACGTGGGGCCGGCATGCCGGACGGTCTGAGCCCCATAGGGTGAGTAGAGTCCCTGGACCATGTAAGGCCAGGTGCCTGATGACAGTGGAGGTGCAGAAAATCGAGAGTGTGGGTGTGGGGGCATCTGGAGATGAGCCAGCAGGAGAGGAAGCCTCACAGCTGGGGCTTCCAGGGAGTCCCATGGGGGCCTGGGCTGCAAATGCGTTGACAGCTGGGAACACAGGACCCAGGCTCCTCGAAGCCTGGAATCGGGGGGCGGCCCTTGGGGTGGGGTGTGGGCCAGGCAGGGGCCATGAGAACAGGTGGACAGGGAAGGATGTGCCCCCCCAGAAGTTCTCTTTCCACTCATGATCACGATTCGTCCTCCTACTCTTGTTCAGACTCACAGAGCATCCATACTGCACTGCTTGGGGAGAGTGCTCAGTCTCTTTGAGGTGAGTCGTCTGTCCCGCCCAGACCCTGTGCTAGCTGGTGTGGCCCTGGCCCCCCTGAGCCAGCAGACGTGGAGTGCAGGGGCTCCATGTTTCTGTGCTGCTTGCCTTTCTGGCAGCTGCAAACACCAGGGACCAGGAAGTAAGCGGGAAGCAGCAAGAGGGGTTGTGCGGGGTATAAGGCCCAGGCAAGGCCCACCTGTGAGAAGCAGTGTGGAGCCCGCAGAGCGTCCGAGTGCTCGCCGGGCCACGGGCTGGTTTCATGACCTGGCTCCGGGCAGCCTCTCCTGCTCTTCCCACAGACTTCCCTATGCTGAAAAAAGCTTTGCCAAGCTCATGATTAAGGAGCCCGCCCTGCAGCAGACTCAGGGACGGTGGAGGCTTCTGGTGACAGGTGCAGCCGCAGGGAGGGACACAGCTCACGTGAGTGAGGCCAGGGAGGAGCCTTGAGAAAACCTCCACGTCACCATCTGGGAGGGCCAGTGTGGAGGGCTGACCCTCCAGCGGGCAGCCCAGAGCCCAGCTAGGGGCCATGGGCCAAGCCAAACACAAACCTCCTCCTCCGGGAGGAAGGGGGCCTGTGAGGGCAGAGCTCAGAAGCTCGCTCTCCCGGCGGTTGTCAAAGCATGTATCTTAGGAGAAGTGGTTTCACTCCTAGTTTACTAACTCATTTTATTAAAAGAGAGATCCCTGAATATGCTTACTGAGAGGTCTGCGGAGAGACCATGGTGGCCCATAGAGGCCGGCGCTCTGTGGGGAGCGCGGCGGAGGAGGCTGCGGGTGGAGGCTGGCGCTCTGCTATGGGGAGCGTGGTCAAGGAGGCCTCTGTGCTGGGATTTGTTGCAGGATGAAGAGCGGAAGGAGCAGGCCCGGGACCTGTTTGAAGAGTCTGCTCATCAGGGTTGTCTGGCCAGCTCGTACCTCCTCTGGGAACGTGACAGGAGGACGGACGTGAGTGGCCCGGGGTCTGGGGAGAGGAGGATTTGTGTCAGCCAAAGGTGCGGTGTCCAAATGGGCCCTCGGGCAAGGTTCTGTCCGCACCGGGGGCCCCTGGGCAGCTCCCAGAGAACCAGGAGCCACCGTCCAGCAGCAGCTCCCGTAGCTGCCCCAGCAACCACCACCATTTGGGAGATAAGGGGCTGGGAAGGAGACCAAGCTGTGGACCCTCTAGGCGTGTCGGGAGGAACATTTAGGAATCGAAGGGTTGGTTCTGAGTTTCTCCGGAGACACAACTGTATAAACAGCACGGTGACACTCTCCCATTGACAGATGTCAGATCCCGGGCGATGCCTCCACAGCTTCCGGAAACTCAGGGACTTCGCGGCCAAAGGCTGCTGGGAAGCACAGGTGAGGCAGGAGCTGGCCTTTCTCCTTCCCGCTCCTCTCGTGGGGCCGTGGCAGTGAGATTGCCCGGCTCCCTCTCATGGGAGGTAGGACTGGCCCAGGGCCGACGCCAGGGCTGATAGGAGTGTAGCTGCGGGGTGCGCCCTTCACCTCTGCGCTTCACCCCGGCGCCTCCAAGCCCCTGCTCCCCCAGCCCTCCAGCCTCTGCATTCTCAGGTGTGACCGCGCTAGGTCTGTTGTCAGTGCTCACGTCGCTCCCTGAGGTTGCCTGGTAGCTCGGAGCAGATGGGGGTGTGCAACGCTGCCCTGTTCCCATCATTTCACCCGCTCACCGGGTCGCCCAGGGTTAGAACCAGGATGTGAGGGATTTGCCGGTGGTGCTCTCCAGATGCTGTCCCGTTGCAGCTGTAAAGAACTGTCGTTTAGGACAAATCAAAGACAGTCCCCCTTTGCCGAGCAGGTAGAAATACTCTTGTTGCCCCGCCAGGGGGGTGTTTGAGAGTCCTCTGCCCTAAAAGTGAGGGAAGAAATCACAGCAGTAGGCGGCCCAGCCTGATGTGTCCCAGAACATGGCGACGTTTATGTCCCAGGCAGTCAGCAGATTTGCGGCAGCAAGAACAGCGAACAGCGTGGTTCTCTCAGAAGCTCTAACTGATCGTAAGGATAGCAACATTCCAATAAAGGTTCACAGGGTCCTCATGCGCTCCCGCAAAAGGGGAAATAGAAAAAACTGGTCAAAGCCCAGGGCAGCGTCCCCTCTCAGCGCTAGTTAACGGGGTGCACAGCTAAACAAGATCGTATGTATGTATGTCTTTTTTTTGTACGTGTTGAGTGGATCGCTAATAACTTCTGAGAGTACACATTTTTCACGAGAGCAGTTTTTGCTGGCAAAGATGTGATAAAACGCATTCACTTAGCTGGTATGAAAATCTGTGCAGCCCTTTCAGAAAATACTTAGGCACAGCCGCCCTTGCAGGTTGACCACGTATGCAGACAGGTACCAGTCCTGAAATGGCTGTACCGCGATGTTCCATAAAGTAATAAAACAAGTCTAACCCTGGAGGGAAGAACAGGTGAAACACGTTTACAGGCGTTTCATATCCTAAGGAGCCACGTTATTGTTAGGTGAGCTGAGAGAAGGTAAAATGTATGTGCACTATGATGAGGAATGCATAGAAACATCTAGAAGGAAATATCTAGAAATAGTTGCTAGTTACCATCAGAGGGCCTAGAGGTGCCAGGGGGCCCGTGCCAAGTGGTGGACACAGCTCTGTCAACCCACACACCCAGCTACCTAGGCAGGTGCTGTTGGGCCCTCATGAAAAGGGAAACTGAGGCACACAGCACTTCCACCAGTTTGCCTGTGGTGTTCACACAGACTCAGGTTTTAAAGCCAGGTCATCTGAACCTCCAGCCAGTTTTGGCCACTTCGCTTCACTGACTCCATTATGCACGTTTTGTCCCTCTTGAAGTTCGTTATCGCGTGACCTAGTGTTTATTTCAAAATGAGTAGTTAGAACTTGAGCCATGCCGTTTCCAGAAGGCGGAGAAGGTGTACGTGCCCGCTGTGTGCCCACACGTCTTCTCCCCCGGCAGCCCGCGGCTTCGTGCTCACGTGCGTGTCTGTCCCGCAGCTGTCTTTAGCCAAAGCCTGTGCACATGGAAGCCAGCTGGGACTAGGCGCAAAGGCCTCGGCTGGGGTGGTGCGCCCCCTCTTTCAGACCTCCCGCGCTGTCAGCAAGCAGCAGGTCTTCTCTGTGCAGAAGGGCCTCAGCGACACGATGAGGTGAGGACCGCGACAGCGAGCGTCTGCGCGGGATGGTGGGCGGAGGCAGAGCGGCAGCCAGGCTTCGGGCTCGGGAGGGGGGCTGTCGGGCCCGTTCCACCAGAGCCGCCGCCACAGGGCGCCGGGGCGAGCAGCCCCACTGGAACCCCCTTCGTGCGCGTGTTTTCCAAAACTGGGATGCCCCCGTTCTCCAGGGCTTTGAAGAGAAGATATCCCCCGTGAGTGTCCATGCTCGTTTTCCTTTTTAATCCTCAGAATATGTTACACCATTTAAGCGTCTTTCTAAAATGATGGGATTTGTATTGCCAGTTTCAGCAGCCAAAACACCAACCTCTTCTTGACGCCTCCTCCGGTGAGCTTCGGTGTGGCGAACGAGGGTCTGCGACCATCACGCCTGCCCAGAGCAGGGAGCAGAGCCCTCTGGGGTGGCCTCCCACCCCGCGTGCCCTGACCCGAGGGTTTTCACTCAGTCACAGGATACGTTAGAAATTAATGTAGAAAACGTAAATGATTCTTTAAGGTTCCACGAGATTTCAAATATGCTTTGGAAGGCACCTGGGTGGCTCAGTCAGCTGAGTGTCCGACTCTTGATTTCGGCTCAGGTCATGATCTCAGGGCGCTGAGCTCGAGCCCCGTGTCAGGCTCTGGGCTGGGCGTGGAGGTTGCTTAAGATTCTCTCTCTCCCTCTCCCTCGGCCCATCCCCACTTTCTCTCTAAAAAATTAATTAATTAAAAACACACTTTGGGTTCCGAAGGGGCAGGAACATGCTCAGTAGACGTCTGTGTTAAGCGGGATGACGGCTTCCCTGGAGAGGCTTGATCTCGCACCCGGTGCAGGGACGCACTGTCCTCTGCTCCCACATTCCATGTCAGCAAGCCGTTGTGCTCTGGAACCCTGGGCCAGTGCTGGCGGCTGCAGCCCCTTTTCCCCCCTGTTCCTCCTCCTCTGAGAAGGTGTATCCTGAGAGCACCTGTGCCCCTCTCAGGTGGCCCTTTTTGGGGGACTTTCGCTGTTCTGTTTGGGGGGACACTTTCTCCTTTTCAGAAACAGAATTTTGTTGAAATATTAACATCGTCTCAGCCTTTGAGTTGAGCTTCTTTTCCTTTTTCTCTATACCAAGCAAAACAGACGCTTTTTTTTTTAAGCTGAAGTATATTTGAGTGTGACATTGTGTTGGCTTGGGATTTAGCCATTTTAAAGTATACAATTCCATTGGTTTGTTTTTTGTTTTGTTTTAAAGATTTTATTTATTAGAGCATGTGTGCGCATGCGAGCAAAGTGAGGGGCAGAGGCAGAGGAAGAAGCAGGTTCCCCGTGGAGCAGGGAACCCACAGGACTCCATCCCAGAACCCTGGGATCATGACCTGAGCCGAAATCAAGAGTCAGACGCATAACCGACTGAACCACCCCAGGCACCCTGGTGATTGGTTTTTAGAAGTCCCATCGTTAGGGTCGCTAAGTCTGGATGGGGGAGCATCCTCTTCTGTTCCCAGTGTTGGCTGGTTTAAACCTCCAACACCTGGCGGTGCTCACGCGGTCGTCCAGCTCTGGGAGGAAACACAGGCTGTCTGTCTCACCCCCATTCCCATCTCCCTCCTTCCCTCCACCTGTGACAGATGCTTCCACCCAGCACCTGGAACACCTGCCCAGACCCCAGCAGCTTTATGTTTCTTCTCCCTCTTCTGGTCTCTCCTCTCCTTTGTTCAGAGAGCTGTTGACCGTACTCGGGCACTCTTGCTGGGGCACCCAGCACTCCCACGTGAGGTCTGGGTCCCTGGTCCAGGGTTGAGCCCCCTCGAGGAGGGACCGCACGTCTGTCAGCCCCACCAGGGCTGCTGGGTGCTGAGAAGTCTGATGCTGGGCTCAGGGCACCCTCCTTTAGCTCCATTTCGGCTCTCTGCCCCGTTGCAGAGGGTCGAGATAAATGACCCCATGGATGGAGCCGCTCCGCGAGGAGGATATGGGTTTGCGGGAGGGCCACAGGTCTCGCCAGCTTCGTGTGACTGTTCTCCTGTCCTGGGCCCTGTGATCTATCCTCAGCCCTCCAGGGTGGCCCCACCTTGCCCCTTACCTGTATCTGGGCTCATCCGGTACCTGGCTGGCTGTGTGGGAGAAGGCAGGGGACACAGGTGTGTGAGCCTAGCTTCCTCCTAGGAACCGAGCAACCTTGGGGCCTTCCCAGCCCCCTTGGACCTAGCACCTCCGGCTGGGACAAGTTCCTGGGTAAATCGACGATGCTGCAGATGACCAGCTCACTCCCTGAGGACGGATGGGCCAGGTGGGAATGGCACGCTCACACTCATTTTCAGGGGTGGTGCTCTTCCTGCAGGTACATCTTGATTGACTGGCTGGTAGAAGTCGCCACTATGAAGGACTTCACGAGCCTGTGCCTTCACCTGACCGTGGAGTGCGTGGACCGGTACCTGCGGAGGAGGCTGGTGCCCCGGTACAGGCTCCAGCTGCTGGGCATTGCCTGCATGGTCATCTGCACCCGGTAAGGGGCCCCCCCCGGGCAGGGCCTGCAAGATGACCCTCAGCATGCTGGGCGTGCCCGGCCTCCCCGGCTGGCTTGTTGGTGAAAGGAGCCTTCAGTGTCCCACCTCATCAGATGTGGGTCTGAACTTCACGGAGAGCGCAAGCAGAGTAGTTCCCCTCAGATGGAGGACTGACCCTTGGTGCGTGGGTGGCCGCTCATCCCGGCCTGCAGGGACCCCAGAACATGGCCTTGCTCAGGCGGGTTCAGGCTGGGCCCCTTCTCCCCTGGCCCCTGAGGGTGACGTGGTGACCTGCCCCCCCCGGGTCCTCCTCCCGAGATCACGGAAAGACCCCTTCTCAGCGGTCAAGCTCTCTAGCCTGTGTCATCAGAGACCTGCAGTTAGAGGGTCTCATGCCCGCAGCCAGCTCCCAGAACACCCCAGTCCCACTGCGAACAGGGGGTCCCTCCTCATACAGCTGCCTGCACCCCTGGCAACCCTGACTTTCCATGCAGAACCAGCTTACATTTTACCTAAATCTACTGTCTTTTATCGATATTTGTCTGCCCCGGTTTTCCCTTGGAAACATCTTGAGTGTTCTTGTCTTCCTAAGGCAGACACGCCCGTGTGGTCTGCCCTTCCCCCTGCAGACTTGCCATCCTCGTCCGTGAGCCTTGGGGCGTGAGGGACAGGCTCGCCATGCACAGCGGGGTGCACTCAGATGCGCGGGCTTCCTTTGTGTGTAGCCCTGAGGCAGGGGGTCCAGGCTTATGTCGTTGGGGTGGTCTTTCTGTCATGAGGTCACGGAAAGCCCCAGCTCCTGTCTTATCTCTGCCACCCCCGGTGACCCCTGAGGCCACCGTGTCCAGTGCAGCGAGCTCAGTCATGTGGTCGTGCTGGGAACTGGGATGTGTGGTCTGTAGGGGACCAGCGTGGACTTGGGCTGCAGGCAAGGCTACCACCTGCCGCCCAGCCCCTCAGGCGTGCCCATGGGACCCTGCGTTCAGACCTTCTCAGTAGAGGTGGCAAACAGGCCCCACCTCCTTGTGCCGGAGCAGCGTAATTACACCCTTGTAATCAGAAACCAAATTACTGGACCATCAACTGGCTAGCAGTGAGATGCTTTATAAAGATCCTAGAGGCAGAGATGCCCCACCTCTGCTCAGAGCAGCACCTGCCGTGGCCCTCTGCCCGGGAGCTCCAACACCCGGCCCCACTCGGCCCGCTCCCTCCTCTTACCCTCCGCACCTGCGCTCCCCGTATCTCCCATCTTCTCTCTCGGTCAAGCCCATAGCCAACGGGGCAGCCACAGAGTCCCCAGGACAGAGCAGCCATGGCTTGGCCCTGCTCCCTTGCCGGCAGGCCACTGAACCAGCGTGTTCCCTACTAGTTGGGGCCACTGGAGAGTCGAGAACAGATGACCAGACCCGTGCTGAGCACCTACCTTCAAACAACCTCCAGCCCTCCTTCTGCTGGCTCACCCACCTCCCAGGTTTAAGCTCTTGTTTACATGCACTCTGTAGAAGCTGGTTTAATCCTCAGGTCGTTAAGAGGCTCAACCAGTCACCTCGATTATGGGTGCCTTTTGCAGACACCTCTGCGTGCCTGGAGCTGGCCACTCCCACGGCCAGCACCAGTCCCAGTTCCTTTGCAGACCCTTCAGATAGGGTCACTTGAGCTCATCTGTTCCCCTTAGGGGCTGCAGGCAGCTCAGTCCTCTCTTTGACCCTCCCCCACCCCCGTCACTGGGGCTGAAGTGATCGCTGCCTCCAGGGAGAGCAGACTCCTTGCTCAGACCCCTGCTTGACATTCTAGGTTCATCAGCAAAGAGATCCTGACAATCCGCGAGGCTGTGTGGCTCACAGACAACACGTACAAGTATGAGGACCTGGTACGGATGATGGGAGAGATCATCTCTGCCCTGGAAGGGAAGATTCGGGTAAGTGGCCATTTGCTGTTTCCTTTCACATCAGAGCTGAAGCCATGGGAGGGGACAGGTGGAATCGGGCTCCTGCATGGTGTCGAGCTTTCCTGCTCTGGAAAGTCCTCCTGGACCCAGAGGGCACGAGGCTGGAGCTGCAGCTGGTCACTGCAACACCGTGGTGCTGGTGTGAACGTGGGCAGGGCCAGCCTCCCTGCTGAGTGGGTGGGTGAGCCCTCTGCGTGCCAGGACCCCACGTCACCTCCCTGCCCCGTGTAGGTCCCCACTGTGGTTGATTACAAGGACGTCCTGCTGACGCTGGTCCCAGTGGCGCCGAGAACCCAGCACCTGTGCAGCTTCCTGTGTGAGCTCTCCCTGCTGCACACCAGCCTGGCGGCCTACGCTCCAGCCCATCTGGCCGCGGCCGCCCTACTGCTCGCAAGGCTGACGCACAGGCAGAGTAAGGAGCCCGCCCTTCCGCCCCGACTACTCAGCAGGGCGAGCTGGGGACTGGGGATTCCCCAAGTCAGGACACAGGAGACGGCTCTCAGATGCAAGGGGGAGTGAGGGAGAAGACGGAGCATGTGCGTCTCCGCTCGAGGAGACGCCAGGACAGACTAAAGCCGTTCTGTGGGGGTGAGGTTAAGAGATGGTTGTAGCATAAGTATCTCCTGCACCTTGACAGTGAGCATGGGGCGTTTGTCACCCCAAGCTCCAGGAAACTGCACAGCAGAACCATGGAGCGTGGGGCGTGGGAGGGGGCGTCAGCACGGCCCCAGCACCCCTGCTTTCCTCCCCAGCACAGCCCTGGACCACGCGGTTGTGGGACCTGACTGGGTTCTCCTGTGAAGACCTCATACCCTGTGTCCTGAGCCTTCATCAGAAGTGGTGAGTCTGTAGAAGGAAGTGAGCCCCCCCAGCTGCCACAGAGCCTTCGTCCTCGTGTCCCACGGGGGGCTCGCTGTCAGCCCGCACACAGACCTGCCCCGTAGGGCACTGCGTTCTCAGGGTTGACCTGGAAAAACGCCAGGCCATGTTGCCTGTTTGGCACAGTTTTGACATTTGATGTGTGGACAGCAGCTCCTCCCAGCCCAGAGCTCATCCTGCAGGCGGCAATGGTAATCGAAACATAGAAGCCGGCTGCCTGAGCAGTGGCCAGTGTGGCGTGGGACCACTTGTCCCCTCGCTCCGGAGTTGGCCGGCTGCAATTGCTTCCTGCCGCAGCCCTGCTCCTCATCCGCTCACTCCAGAGCCCGCTCCCAACACGTGCCCGCGCCAAACCCCAGCCACTGCTGCCTCTGCCAGGCCACGCTCTGTGCTCTCTTCCCCCGTGTGCGGGCCTGGGGGATTCCGGCCTTCTGCCTGTCCTCGGGCACTTCCAGGACTCAGAACACATCTGAACCCCAGCCTCTGACTTGAGCCCCAGGGCCTCCTCCCCTGCTGCTGGCTTGTCCGGGCCGTCCCTCCTCATCATGGATCGCACTGGGTGCCTGGAGTGTGTGCCCCGCTCATCCTAGCAGGGACCTGGGGACAGCCGTTTCTGCCGCTCCGTTCCTGCGTCCCGCCGGCTCTGGAGGGCTGTGCTGCCTGCACGTGCTCATTCCCCCAGCCGCCCCCTGAGTTACCGCGGTGACCGCCTCTGAGGGCGTCACTGCTCTGTACGCCGTCTAGGATGAGATCGGAGCTCTCCAGCGGGGCCCTAAGCCCCTGGGACCAGCCCCTTCTCTGGCCCGCTCCCCGCCCCGCTCCCGCCATGGGGAGCCAGTCAGCATGTCCTGGGCTGGCGTGTCCTTTGGCCAACCCTGTTTTCTGTCATGCCTACTCCCAGCCTATGGACGGGGAGCACGGATGAAGCTGATGGGTCAGCGTGTGTGTCTGATTGCTCACACAAGGGGCGCGAACAGCCCTTGCCTGACACCGGCTACCAAAGATTGTTGCTAGGCTGCCCCCCAGAGTTGTTTATTTTCACATCAGAGAAATTGCAAATGTTTATTTACCAACCTAATTTTTTTTTTTTTTTAAAGATTTTGTTTATTTATTTGACAGAGAGAGACACAACGAGAGAGGGAACACAAGCAGGGGGAGCTGGAGAGGGAGGAGCAGGCTCCCCGCTGAGCAGGGAGCCCAACATAGGGCTCGATCCCAGGACCCTGGGGTCATGACCTAAGCCAAAGGCAGATGCTTAATGATTGAGCCACCCAGGCGCCCCCCAAACTAGTTTTTTTTTTTTTTTTTTTAAGATTTTATTTATTTATTTGACACAGAGAGAGAGAGAGAGAGACAGTGAGAGAGGGAACACAAGCAGGGGGAGTGGGAGAGGGAGAAGCAGGCTTCCCGCTGAGCAAGGAGTCTGATGCGGGGCTCGATCCCAGGACCCTGAGATCATGACCTGAGCCGAAGGCAGACGCTTAATGACTGAGCCACCCAGGCGCCCCCAAACTAGTTTTTTAAGTGTACAATTCATATTCGGAGTTGTGCGACCATCATGACAGTTCTAGAACGTGGCACCACCCTCAAACCCTGCACCCCTCGTCTGTCAGGCCCCTGCTTCTGGGCCCTCCAGCCCCCGGCTTTCCATCTCTGTGGATTTCTTGCTTCTGGACACTTCATAGAAACAGAGTCCTGCCTCATGTGGCCTCTTGTGACCAGCCTGTCAGCTACATAACGATTCCACTGGAGTCCCAGTCCACTGTGTGGATGGACTGTTCCTGCTCATTCACGCACTGGTGGACGTGGGGGCTGCCGTGAACATCTGCGCATCTGTGTGCATTTACGGTGGAGCCACGGGGCACCCTGTCTCTCCTCCCATCGCTAGGCTGTTTTTATGTTTTTGTTTATTTTTTTAAAGATTTAATTTTTATTTATTTGAGAGAGAGTGAGCGAGCACAAGCAGGGGGAGTGTGGAAGAGGGAGAGGTAGGCTTCCTGCTGAGCAAGGAGCCTGATGTGGGGCGGATCCCCCAGGACCCCTGATCACCTGACCTGAAGGCAGCCGCCCAACCAACTGAGCACCCAGGAACCCCAGCTAGGCTGTTTTTAAATGCATATTGTCCCCTCTCACTTCAGCGAGTGGAGGCTAAAACAGAGTCCCTTGGGCTGGGGTGACGATGTCACCTGCCCTGGAGCCCTGCATGTGACCCCATTGTCCCTCTGTTTGCAGCTTTCATGATGACGCCCCCAAGGACTATAGGCAAGTGTCTCTGACCGCCGTGAAGCAGCGATTCGAGGACAAGCGCTACGAAGAGATCAGCCAGGAAGAGGTGCCCGCGCCCCCACTGCCCACCCCAGATACTGGCCCCTCTGGGCCTCGTCCCTCCCTCTGACCCCGGTCTCCTCTCAGGTACTGAGCTACGGCCAGCTGTGCACAGCTCTGGGAGTGAAGCAGGGCAGCCTGGAGCCCACGTCTTTCCTCAGCACAGGGGACATCCATGCCTTCCTCACCTCTCCTTCAGGAAGGAGGACCAAGCGGTGAGTGAGCCCCGTGTCTGAAACAGTGCGTGCTGGACCTGGTTCCCTGGGGACCCCTGCGGCTGTCTGAGGGGCTCCGTTACCCCCTTTTACACAGGGGGCTTCTAAGATGTAGCAGGGAGAAGCGGCAGGTCCCACAAAAACGGAAGCTGGGGTTGAATCCAGGCCTTGTTTCCTGGGCCCGATCTCCACTGTTGGCCACCCTGTTCTCTCTCTCCAGTGCAGCTGTCTCTCTTGCTTTAACCTGGCCCCTTTGAGCAAAGGTGGTCTCAAGCACAGGCTGAGCCCAGCGCAGGCACCTGCAGGCCACCCTGTTCCACGGTGTTGCTGTCACTCCCGGCCCTGTCCCTCCGTACTTCCCGGGCTGCCCCGTCTCCCCCTCGTCTCCCGAGTCTGTCCCACGCGTGTCCCCCATCTTAGTGTCCTGGCCCGACCACCTGGAATGACTTGCCCTCCCCACCTTACCCACCCACCAAGTCCAGATGCGCAGCCCCTCACTGTGCTGCCGGCCCTGCCTCTGGGAGCTTTGCTGCGAGCTTCCTGAGGGCAGGCAGCTGGGTAGCTGTGTCTTCCCTGCACCCAGCACAGCAGGCCAGGGCGGGCAAGTGCAGAGGACCAGGCTGGGTAGGAGGACCAGCCATGACCGGGCTCCTGGCCCTCCCACCCTGCAGGAAGCGGGAGAACAGCCTCCAGGAGGACAGGGGCAGCTTCGTCACCACGCCCACCGCGGAGCTGTCCAGCCAGGAGGAGATGCTGCTGGGCAGCTTTCTGGACTGGAGCCTGGACTACTGCTCTGGCTACGAGGGTGACCAGGAAAGCGAGGGTGAGAAGGACGGTGACGGTGAGTGCCACGGCCTGGAGGCCGCCCAGATGCCCCCTCGGGGGCAGGGGGGGTCCACACCCAGGCAGGCGTGAGACAGCAGAGCCCCTAGAACACCAGAGTGCAGTCGGGGGCCAGGGTGGGCATTCTCCCAGCCCACAGCGGGGAGAAAAGACCTGTGTCCAGCCCCAGTCAGGACTGTGGGAGGGCCTCACCAGGGCAGGGAAGCAGAAGAGACCTTGTCTGGAATTCACAAGGAGTTCTTTCTCGAACATTGTGTGAGATGTGCCACCCACTGCCCTTTTGGGCTCTGTTCCTTGTGCACCCCTCCAGAGCTGCCTGTGGGAGGCTCTGCCCCTGTGCTCTCGAGCAGCTAAACACAAAGGAAGCCCAGTTGAAGCAGTTTCTATCAACTTTCCAATTGCTTGCTTTGTGTCCACTTGGGGATTAAGTGAATTATTGGTAACTAGTTTGTAGTCGCTCCTCCAAATCACATTGAGTGCCACCCTCAATTTCTTACCCAAAGTAGAGCAGTACAGGGGACAGTCCAGTGAGAGCCACGCCCGTCCTGGCCAAGAGCTGGACCCTGGGCCACTGGGGGTCCTGACTGGGCAGGGGGGCACCCCGTTGCTCAGGCCATGGTCGCATCTCTCTCCCCATGTCTCCCACAGTGACGGCCCCCAGCGGCATCCTTGATGTCACCGTGGTCTATCTGAGCCCCGAACAGCACTGCTGCCAGGAATCGAGTGATGAGGAGGCCTGCCCGGAGGACAGGGGACGCCAGGACCCGCGCACCTGGGTACCAGGCCCCCAGACGCCTCCAACGCCAGGGCCTGAGCCTCGGCTCTGCAGCACAAGGGAGCCAGGCAGGGACAGTGTGACCTCAGGGTACTCCTCCATCAGCAGCGCGAGTCCCACAAACTCAGTGGACAGCATCTCAGGGGGCCCTCCCCAATCTACCTCAGCGCTGTCCCCAGGCAGCGACTCAAACACACAGCCTTGCCACCACCATGCCAAGAAGTCGTGTTTACAGTGTCGCTCTCCAAGCCCTCTGGAGAGCAGCGTTCCCCAGGTGAAGAGGAAAAACCTATCCACCCACAGCAAGGAGGAAGAGGAGGAGGAGGAGAGGGACCTGAGCCGGGCTTGCTGAGGCTGTGAGTGTGCCCGTGCTTCCCGCAGGGAACATTTGCTAAGGGAGGGCTGCCGCTGCACTAGGGAGCCGTGGGGGCGCTGGAGATGGATGCCATGTGGACCCCAGTGGCTCTCGCACAGGGAACGGAGAGAACACGGGACGCTAAGTTTCTTTCTCCAGGGTAGTCCCATGTGAGCCGTCAGAATGTCTGAATCAGAACAAAAACTCAGATTCTTCCCTTTGGGAAGCTTAGCCTCAAAGCAATCATGCCACACCCTGTGAAGCCCGTTTCTCTGTCCCCTCTTGTGTCTGTCCTGCTCTCTCTGGGGAGCTTGAGCCCACGTCCTGATCTCCCCAGCCCCACTGAACCCCATCCCAGGAGCCGACAGCTTTCACAGTTGAGAACACGTGGGACCAGGTGGCCTGGCCCAGCTCCCCTCCCGGCATCTCTCTGGTTTTGGATTCTGGGGGGAGCTGACAGGTCTGAGCGCACCTCCGTCCTCATATCTCCACCCCCACCCCCCCGCTCCCATCCTCACTGGGTGCAGGTCCCCTGCTGAGGGAGCCATGCCCCTGCACACTGCTGTGGACTGCATGGGACCGCCAGGTGGGGGGCCCTAATTGCTTTCTTGGCCCTCAGCTCCCTGCCCACCACACTCTCCACTCCTTCAGAAATCTGTCCCTTCCTGCAGAGTGATTGGTCTTTGTCCCCAGCAGGTGGTGTCCGTATGAACACCTCTCTTTGCACTGAATTTCTAGGCCATTTCTTTTCCTCTCTATTTCCATCCTTTGTTCTTCTAAGATGGAAATAAAAGAAAAATTAAAGATAGAAGGCATTAAATTTTAAAAAGAGATTCTTAACTTTATTTAGGCTCAACTAAAGAAAAAAGGAACATCTGATTCAGATCCCTCAGTGCTATCCTGACACTCTTCCCAGAGAGATTAGATGGAAAAAAATTGTCATTTGTAACATCTGAGGTGACCACAGTGCAGAAGAGTGAGACTCAGAGGACCTGTCCCCACCTGTTGGGTGAGGGTGGATCTGCTGTGGGTTCCTGAGGCTCCCCCACACCTGCCACCTCCTGGGTACAGCAGCCAAAACACCAGCGGGATCTGCTCTAGACTGACCCCAACCACCCCCCGGTCGGGTGGACCACTGAGACACGTGCCCTGCACGGATAGCTTCTGCTGCTTCTCGGAACGTCGGAAAGAACCACTGGGCCAGGAGCCATCCCCCAAATGCTCTTGAACCCGAGCTCTGTGGAAGGAAGAGATACTCTGTGGTAGCTTTTCTGGGTGCTTGTGTGTGTGCAAGCGTGGGTGTGGGTGTGTGTGGGTGTGGCTGTGGGAGCTGTCTTCCTGCTACTGTAAAAGAATTCTGACCACCCCGGTGGCGCACGGTTAAGATCGCAGATCTTTCCTGTCAACTGTGCCCCTGGGCATGTGTGAGCCTCAGTATCCTCATCTGTAAGATGTGGCCATAGTACCTACCTCACAGGGGTGTTGTGGGGATTAAATGTGATGAGGGTAGTGGCAGCTGAGTGATGTGCATATCTGAACTGCCCACCTCCTTGTCTGTGGCCCACTGTCAAAAGCTCAACTCTGGATGGACCCGGCCCTCTGCCTTCTCCCTGCCTGCACCTGTAGGAGACCGCTCCAGTGGGGACCTAATGCCACCTGCCTGTGCTGATCGGAGCCTCTCCCTCCCTTCCTCCCTCCAGATGACAACGGGCCACTGCCCATGGACGGGCCCACCCTAAGTTCCCACCCTGGAATAGCCCCAAGCGGCATAGGGCCCCCAGCTCCCCGCCCCGAGCAGCTATGAAATGGACACCTCTCCATCTTGAAGCAACCTCCCCCACCCCCAGCTTGTCATCCGTGCAGCTCCCCCTGAGATTTCTCAGCCCCTGCAGGGTTCACAGTCCTACTTATTAACTCCAATTACATGGGACCCTGCTGCCTTCATCACTCCTTCCAGCTAGCACCTGTCCCCCAGCTGTCTAAGTCACTTGAAGGCCCCATCCTCCGACCTGTGGAGACCCTCCTGGAACAGCCTCAGGTTGCTTCTGTGACACCTGGCTCTACTGTCCCCTCCACCTCTCTGGGCTCCAGCTCCCCTTCCATCACCCATCCTTCACCAGTCCCCGTCTATACTCCTGTCCCACCTTGGACCATCTGGCCCCAGCCCATTGTTCTGAGGCCACCACCCCAGGTCTTCTGGACTTTGATGTGCCTCTGCTCAGGTGCCTACCTGATGCCACCCCAAATGTCGTCACCTCACCAGGATGTCCACAAGCGAACGCTCCCTCCTCCCTTGCTCTGCCCCCAACACACGTGTCCTCCTCACCTCTATATTTAAATATGTACTGGGCCCCGCCAAGTACCTTGCCCCGCGCTAGGTGGCCTGGGGTCCGCAGGGCACCTCGGCCCTGCTTTAGGGCGCCTTCAATAGGACAAAGACAAACTGAACCGTAAGCAATCACAGGTGCCTCCATCTACCCAGTTGTCCAAACCAGATGTCCGTGCACCACCGGAGGACCCTCTGCGATCCCCGGGCCCAGCTCCAAGTGGGAGTGGCGGCGGGTGCCGCGGGGGCGTGGACGCGGGAGCCCGAGCGCCGGAGGCGGGGCCGGGGCGCTGGGGGCGGGGA